ACGTGGCCTGAAACATTCTCCAATATTTATTTTGTTAAAGCAATGAACTTAACATAAAGTGTAAAAGTGGGAACTAAAAGTTGCTCCCTGGGAGGAAACCAGTGGCAGCTGTGATGAAAATCACCTGACATGCCTCGGGTGGTCAGCCCTGACAAATAGACCGAGTGGTCGGTTAGGCTGTGGACACATGGTAAGAATTAGACAGCGGTCAGATAAACATGTCTGGCCCCGAGGTAAAACATACCTCAAACAAATCAATTAACACAGTCATTTAAGGGTCAATTGGAATCTGACATCTGATGAAACCTTGCTAAACAGTTTATGGTATTGTGTTACAGTTAAAAAAAGAATTGTTGAAGTTGATTATCCAATTTCCTCACTGCATTTTCGTACACGTTGGGCTCTATTTTTGTAGACGCCACAATGGCGAAAATGCTGGCGGATGCTGGTTTTTGTATCGTCGCAAGGCTTGTGTTGCTAATTTGGCCAGCACAGCAGGAGGAGTCTCTTGGTGATGCGCCCGGCAGAGTGACAATTTGGTGACAGAAACTGAAAGTAAATCTTAGGCCTGCCAACCATATCAAACACCAGCGCAATGTAGACAACTTGCACAACTTAGCACATTTGCACACACACAATCGGAATTGTGTGGGCAGTGTCCAGATGTCAACTTCACAGCGCAGATGCTTCTGCCATGTTGAGACTCCCGAGCATCACGAGCACATTTAAAGGGAATGACAGAACCACTTTGATGGCCATTATTGGTGTTTCCCGGCCTCTCGCATGCGTACAAGTGCAAAATGACCCAACATCTAACCTGTTTCCATGCAGAATTACACCACCCCCCCAAGCAGGATTTACGTCGGTTAAGAAAAAAAGAGCCCACGGTTCTGTTTTCCTCTAAGTCAGGGGTGTCAAACTCATTTGACATTGTGGGCCGCATACGGCCTCTGCAGATGTCAAGTGGGCCGGACCATTAAAATTATACCATACTCTGCCAAAAAATATCCAAAATATCAAGTCTTTCCTTTGTTTTGGTTTTGTGAAGCACAAAAAAATTTGGAAAATGTTGACATTTCATGAACATATCTTTTATAAAACATTTCACGAAAAACCTTGGATTTCCTTTGCCAAATGTGATATTTACTTTGATCATTCACATACTGTATATGCATTGCAACTGATCCCACTCATTGTACAAAGGCACAAAACCTTAACAAGTAATTGGTATTGAAAAATATAGTCATGCATTTAAAGATGAAACGAGATTTATAAAGAAAGGAATTTTGGAACCATCTACACGTGTGCATATAAAATCTAAATGTAATCCCTGCCTGCACCTAACAAACTAAAGAGAAAACAGTCTGCCCCCTAGCGGATAATCCATGAATTGCATTTTATTAAAAATATTCATTCCGTGTCTTTTATGCATTTTTTTCCCCCCACATTTAAATTATCCTGCGGGCCTGATCAATCCTGGTTCCGGCCCCTGGGCTGTATGTTTGACACCCATCTCTAAGTCCTGCTCTGAATTTCCTAACCAGACATCTGCAGTGACAAACCAAACAAAAACAATTGACAGTCACTGCACGTCTACATTTCGGTCCTAAAATCATACGCTCTCAATTCACACAAAGCTTTCAAATTCAAATCGGACCAATCCATGGCATCACGTGACATGCCAACATGTTGCACCTCATATACATCTCAGCAAATCGAGCGAGACCTCAACTCAAGCAAGATACAAAGGATTAACTCTGCATGTGTGCTTTGATTTCTCCTCGGCTTCTTTGGGAAACGTGAAGAAAAAGACGCAGATTTCAGCATACTCACGATGGCTCATCTCCCGTGGGAATGATTTGATTTTACAGATCTTTTATCTGGTATCTATCGCTTCGCGTTTTGTTTTTTGAGTCCTCGGGTATGTGTTTTCTTCCTAAATAATAGGGGGAGAACCCTTGAGCACTGAAAGCCAAATGAAAGCTGTTGTGTTAAGAGCGCCCAAAGGCTCTTTGGGTGAGGCCGCTCCCATCCCCAAAATGTAAGCCAATTCAAATATACTGTAGCAGGTTGAAACACACAGATTGCAGTTACCCACACACCTCTTTTCTCCATCTCCTCATCTATCTTTTGACATTCCTGCCTAATAGCATCATTATTGACTGTGTGCAGCCAAAAGCAGGCTCCTTGTAATCATACACACACACATAGGCGGGGCTCCTAAGACAAACGGACACTCTAAAAAAAAAAAACAAAAGAACACAAAGGTAAAAGGAGTGGACAATGAAGGCCAACAAAGCTCTAAAATGAGCACCTTTGATCACTAAACCATTATGCCATCGCTCTACGCTTCAAGTTTGAATAGTCCTCTAACTAAAGAGAGCTGGCAAGAGCTCGGCCGGTCAAGTCATCAACTTAGCAGAACCAGATACGGCAACGCCTACGGGCAAAAATTGTGCGTCAAACTATTTTTGTGATCGACTTGGTCAATTTTTTTTTTTCCCCCAGCCGTCAAGATTTGGAATGTGCAGCGGATTCTGAATGAGCTGCTATTGCGCCATATAGAAAGTTTTTAACATTTCCTGGCTTCGGAATGACAGAAGAGATTAACAGATGGAAAAGATGTCAAACGGAGGAATCTGAATTGTTGATAGGGTAGTGAAAACTAAGAGCGGTTAATAAATTCATTCGAGAGTGTTGTGATAAATACACAAGAGTGCGCCTCAGTAAAATAACCTGTGAAGTTTCATTTTGCTTTCTCACTCTGCAGGATGGAAAGGTCAGGGGATTGTGGGGGTTTCCTGACTGAACCACATATCCAGGCATCCTCTTGACGCTCGCTTGACACACACAGACACACACACTAAAGCACACAACACAGGGTGAGTCAAACACAAACACACTCTTGGATGTTTACTGTGTCACAGTTCTGGTCTCTGATTTAAAGGGAGCCAACTCAAACAGGAGGGACTGGGTCAGCAGAGGAAAGGCATTTAAATCTAACAAGACAGATTCTAATAATAAAGAAAAAATCTTTGGGAAAGCAAAATTAAAATATATGTTCAAGGAAGGACAATGCAGACAAAGAAGAACATTTGGGGAAATATTATGTGACTTCGTTCATCCTCCAGTTCCCTCAAGGTTTTGGAGAACAAATTTGCATATCCTCGTAAAAGCTTTGAGAAAGAAATAGATGTCATATGGCAAACAAACACAAAGACAACAATAGAGCTTTTGTGTGATTCGCCTTTTTTTGGTGAGGATATAACAGTGGCTTAGAATTAAGCCTTAATCCACTACTGTTGCCTCCTTTTATTATCCGCTAATGATCTGACTTTTTTTTTTTGCCTTTCCCCAGGGGCATGACATAATTAATTCATCACTTGTGTAGACTGCACATAGTTTCTCCCAGAAGATAATTATTATTCTTGGCAACACAGATGCCTGCTCAAATAAATGATTGCAAAAATGATCTGAAAAACAATCTGTGACGCGCGGAAATGTAACTAAGGAAAACAAACATCTGGAATAGGAATCCCTCGTTTCACTGCACTGTACTTCAATCTCATGGCGCCCATTGTCTCTGTTAAAAACATCAAGAGTAAACTAAAGTCTTTAACACAATATTTTACTTTATTTTATTTGAAAAGATACTGCTGAAGATTTGAAGAGAACAGTGCTTAATCAATGAAATGACTGCTGGGAACTTTGTCGTTTGTCCTGTCTTGAGACAACTGAGGCAAAATGGAATGACCTACTTTGCTGCAACCAGCAGAGGTGCCGCTCATCAATCTAAATTACATCATTTGTAATCTGAGGAACAAGGAAAAACCCCACCCATGACTAACAGCAAGGGTGGCTGAAGATCCAGAGCCACTTTCAAGCAATGGCCAGACTTCACTGTCTGACATTTTTCACATGATGGGCGTGATCTACACGTTACACACAAACTCCAAATTCCTGCAATTTATTCTGAAATTTCCACAGATGATGAATGCGGTCCTCGTCATTTTTTTTTTTTTTTTTTGCTTCACTAGATTATTGGGTTACGCGGGCTTGCCAATGGGGTTGTACCATTTGTTTTTATGCCCTTGAATCATGGGAGGACACCTGTAATTTTGTGGCCCTGGAAAGGTATGAATAATGAGATTGTCCAATAATTAGCCTTATTGGGTACATTAGCTTGGTGAGTGACAGATATCCCCCCTAGTTCTGACAATGGACTATCCACCGCTCGGGTTTGGAAGGCAGGGAGCGAGGTAACTCATTATTTGCACATACTGTCGATTTATTTTCTTCATAAATGCTATCTATGGAAGTCCATCTGAGCATTTATTCGATAACCTCAATATCCAATTGGAAGGTCTTTGTACTCAACTACTACACTTGGTCCTCACGAATAAGACGATGAAGTGCGCTAGTATGACGTCTTGTGTCTTACTAGTAAAGTATTCCCACGATTGACCTTCTTCCACTTGACATTTTGGCACACCAGACAACTTTGTCATCGTTTGCGAGTTTGGCAAAACTGTCATTAGCTGATTTTGCTGTGTGTGTACTGTCACGAGGGCAAATTTTGCCATAGTACGATGTAATTGCCCCAAGTACTGTCTACCAAAGTTCTCCAACTAAGGACAAAAGCATAGATTTCAAGGACATAGAATAAATGCTCATTATAGACAGACTCCATACAGGAGTCACTAACCGGTAGAGTGATAGAGCACCTTGGGTGATGATAATCATCAAGGTATAGCTTTGCAAAGCTAAATCAAGAGCAGTACACGAAAGCTCGCGGAATGCTAATGATAGTGACGGCCAAGCTGAACATCTGTGTGCAGACACCAAAACTCATCTGGAGGCTGGAAGTGTGAGCAACACTGGGCTCTCAATGGGCGGATCGTGAGCAAACTCTTAGATTTCTCACTTTTTTCTCTTTTCCAAATAATGAAGCAGCAGCCCTCAAATGCAACGAGCGTGAAGGAAAATGAGCTTTTTCAGACCTGGATCATGGAAGGGGACCAGGGCGAAGTTGTAGAGCGGCCGATTCGGTCTACTCAATGATGTCTCCAGAATCTTGGACGCCCCCTCTATAACTTGGACCAGGTCGTCGTACATGGAGCCGGTCACGTCAAACACGAATGCGAGGGTGGATGCGCCCTCCGGGATGTCCTCTTCAGCGGCTTTGGTGCGTGCGTCCTGCCCGAACGAGAGCGCCACTGAAAGGGCAAACAAAAACCACCCGAATCGGGTGCCCATTTCAGATCCGAAAATATCTTCTATTAAATACAAAGCCCAACGGTCAGTCTTTACAGGGCACAGACATTGAGTGTTTAAGAAAAGTATTAGCTAAATAAAAGTAATGCGCATTGATCCAGCTTTGGTGCGCTTCCGTGCTTCCCTCCTCGCGTGCCTTTTTTTTTTTTGCGCAAAGAGTTGCGGAGATCGTCCTCGAAGAATGTGTCTGCTCTTGCCGTTCAAGTGGCTCTTGTGTGTCTTTTCTGTGGTGAGTGAGGTGTGCAGGGTCAGTGGTCCTTGCTGAACTCTTAAAGACCACCTCTCAGCCGCGCACCGAGCCTCCGAGACGCACATAAGCTCGCATAGCAGCGCTCTGATTGGACGCGGACTTTTTTTGAGCCACGGTTTGGCGGAGGGTGGGGGGGGACGCACGCAACACAACACGATGATGACATGTGTTAGGATGTCTTTTGCAGAATCAGAATCAGAATCGCCTTTATTGTCATTGTATAGCATACAACGAAATTTGGGTGCCACTCCTTTGTGCATTTCGAAAAAAATAATAATAATAAAATAAATACAAAACCATAAGTGTTCCTCTGTCAACGCCACAATAAACACCAACTTAATATCAGTTCTGGTAGATGACTTGTGGTATATGACTATGGATAGATCCAAATTTGTACAATTATTACATGGAAATATTCCAACGATAAAAGTGAATGTTTTTTAATCACACCTTTTAATAACAAATGAACACGTCCAGTCAGAGACTACACTTCACAAGCCAACAGTTTGGCTGTCGTCGTGTGTAGTAGATCTAGATCTAGAAAGTATATTAATTTACACCTATCCATCCATTTTCCGATCCGGGTGCTGGAGTCTATCCAGCCGTCTTCGGGCAGTAGGCGTGGACACCCAGAATCGGTTGCCAGCCAATCGCAGGTAATACTGAGACGAACAACCATTCCCATCCACACTCACACCTAGGACAATTTCGAGTGTTCACTCAGCCTGCCATGCATGTTTTTGGAATGTGGGAGGAAACCGGAGTACCGGGACAAAACCCGCACAGGCCCTGGGCGAACATGTAAACTCCACACAGGTAGATCGGAGCTGGAATTGAACCCAGTTAATTAATTTATCGATGCATCCATCCATTTTCCGATCCGCTTTATACTCACAAGGGTGGCAGCGCACGCTGGAGCCTATCCCAGCTCTCTTCGGGCAGTAGGCAGGAGACACCCTGAACCGCCAGTCAATCGCAGGGCACACTGAAACGAACAACCATTCCCACTCACACTCACACCAAGGGATAATTTGGAATGATCCATTAACCTGCCATGCATGTTTTTGGAATGTGGGAGGAAATCAGAGTTCCCGGAGAAACCCCGCACAGGCACGGGGAAATGCAAACTCCATGTTGTGTTTCTGTTTAAGTTACGTTTGGTTTTGTTTCCTCATGTGCCCTTTTTGTCGCCACCTGTTCTCGTCATCACTGTCCCTTGGGTTTAACCAATCAGCTCCCGCAACCCTTTGTGTCTTGTCCAGGTGTTTCTCGTTTTCTCATCACTTTGCTTTTATTTAGTTCCCTGAGTGCTGTCAGTCTTTGTTGTGTTTTTGAGTGTCTGTGTGCTCTTGTCATGTTTTGTTTTCTGACACAGGTTTTTTTTTTTTTTTTGTTACTTTGGCTCCTTGTGATTCCCAGAACTTTGTTTGAGTACTTCGAGTTAGTGTTTTTCCAGTGTACTCCTGTTTGTATTTTTTGTTAAATACATTTTGGTCACTCCACCCTGCTCCACCCTGCCTCCCTGCTTTTTGGGGTCCTCCAACCAACTACCCCCACGCAAAATGTGACACTCCACACAGGAAGACCGAGCCAGAATCGAACTTTGCACCTTTGCAATGTGATGAGGACGTGCTCAGCAGTCGACCATTGCAGCCCTATAATTCATTTTAATGTATGTAATTATCAATTTAATTGAATTAACCAATGAATTCTTGATCCAAACTAGTGAAGAAGATACTGCACACTTGAACTTTGTATGAGGTAGGTCTCCTGGTTGCATCCCATGGGGGGACAACAATAAAGGACAGAGTAAACTGACATGCAGCATCTGTCAGACATTTCTACAATGTAATATAAGTAATAGGACACTTTTTATCAGGTGTGTATATCTTCAGCAAAAGAGTCATGCTTTCAAAGCCAGGGGATGATGAGCTCTGACCCCGGAATGCAAAAAGCACCACCTGACACCAACCGAACTTCTACAATGACGGACTGAAGAGGAAATTACTAGAAAAAAAAGTCTTTCATTTACCCTTGGTCCTGAAAGTGTGTCCTGGGAAATTTATGACCCCCACCTCTTGAATCCCTTTCTTCCTCACCTTCAGGTCACTCTTTTGACTCAGAAGGGTACTTAATGTAATGACAACCATGTCAAAACCAGACCATTTCTTCTTTGCAAAGAAGACAGCATTGTCAAAATGATCCATGTTCACGACACAAGAAAAAATGCATGAGGATCAGCGCATGTATTTTGGTTTTTTGCTTCTTTTAATGTAAAGACCCCACAAAGTAAAATCAGAGATTTGTTTCTCAATATATTAGACGTTTGAAAAAAAATTCCCTGCGATTGTCTGGCAACCAGTTCAGGGTGTACCCCGCCCACTGCACAAAGACAGATGGGATGGGCTCCAGCACAGTTGCACCCCTCGTGAAGATAAGCGGATCAGATCATGGATGGATGGATTTCTAAAAACATGTGCAAACTATGAAATATTCATTTTGTGGCAATATATCGTGAAAAAATGTTTCTTTTTTGTCATGGCTAAAATGTCACTTGGACGTCCGGCTTGAGTCGCGAATCTCCCATAAAATAAAAATTGAGCACCTTTGTTTATTGGATTATTTATTTACAATTCGTTGTTCTATTTCTTCCACGACAGCGACTACAACATTATGAATCATGATCACACTTTAGTGTATACTGTACATTGCGAACTGCAGTTCATTATGAAACTAGTAAAGGTTATGTCGTGTAATCGATACATGATCACGTGTTTATTTCAACATCAAGATGAAAGCGCTTTCATTTTTCAAAGACCAGAATAGTTTATCTTGTAGTTAGCTTTACGAGTGGCCTCGTGTCATCATCACCAGTTACGTTAAGGCTTTTCGTGACGAATAGAAGAGCAATCTGAGCTGAGCCTCTGAACAAACAAACCCAACAGAACCACTTGGAAACTGAACCCGCAGCAGCAGATTGGTAAATTGCACACGTCAGAAATTGTATTATAATGGTAAAAGTGTTTATGTGTATGTGTGTTGTGTCCAAAAATGAAAGAGTAAAACATATTGTTTGATAATAAAATATACTTACATTGTTATTTTGTTTTATCTTTAGTAAGATATAGAAAATACAGTTTGATTAATATCATCCTTGTCCAATTACTTTTGGTCTCTTAAAATGGCAGAGGCACATATAAAAGGCATTGTCATTCCTACACAGTTCAACTGAGTTGCATCTAAATACCTTAAGATTAAAGTTCACAGTCTACACTTAAGCACTTCTTGTTTCATTTCAAATCCATTGTGATGAGCTGGAATGCCCGAAAATCATGTCACTGTCCAAATATCTATGGAACTGATTCAATAGCCTGACAGTGGAGATTAAAACAGATTAAAAACGTGCTCTTTGCCTTCTTTGTTGTAGTACAGTAATTTTACCAATAGATGATGCTGTTGTTTTGTGCAATCACAACCTTTAGTGAGGGTTTCTGCCATCTCAGGTGAGGCCAGCTTTTCATTGCATCACTTTGGGTCACGTCAGTGTACAGTATTTAAACTAGAAGTACCTGATTTTTGGTATGCACCGAGCAAGAGGTCCCCGTGAGTGCCAGTGGAAATGTATATTCCCAAAACGTGATGAATACAAGGATGCACACAGTAGCTACTCAGACGTGCTGCTGAAGAAGTAATGCTGCAACCATAGTTGTGAGATTTTGTTTTATAATTAGCGACAGAAAAATGGTGTGCGCCACATGCGCAGCTCCACAGAGTAGATGACAAGTATGTTGGCAACTTGGTGAGGAAGTGCTGCCTCCATTAGGGAAAATGTCCAACCTTCTCAGTTTTCTCTGCTCACCTTTCCCTTCTGACTCTGAGCTAACCCCGATTGCTATTGGTATCGGAAGCCTTAACATTGTTACATTTACATGTGGAGGTTAATTAAGTGCGTTGTGAGGACTACTTTTTACAATTAACTCCTGAAAACACAACTCTTTGTTTTCCCCTTTCATCAATGCGGTTGATGACACCACTTTCCAAGTCCATCCATTTTCTGAACCGCTTTATCCTCGCAAGGGTCGCGGGGGGTGCTGGAGCCTATCCCAGGTGTCTTCGGGCAGTAGGCGGGGGACACCCTGAACCGGTTGCCAGCCAATCGCAGGGCACACAGAGACAAACAACCATTCCTACCCACACTCGCACTGAGGGACAATTTACAGTGTTCCATTAACCTGCCATGCATGTTTTTGGAATGTGGGAGGAAACCGTAGTACCCGGAGAAAATCCACGCAGGCATGGTGACGACATGCAAACCCCACATAGGAAGGCCGGAGCTGGGATTGAAACCACGACCTCTGCACTGCAAAAAAGGACACTGACATCTATTGATGTCTGCTTCCATCTAGTGGACAGTTTACACAAGTGTAATTTCATTGGTTCCTATCAATGACTCAAGATTGCCAGCCAGTGTTTCCAAAACCTCAAAGTGCAACAATGCACACACACACACACACACACACACACACACACACACACACACACACACACACACACACACACACACACACACACGCACGCACGCACGCACACGCACACACACACACACTTTAAACTTTATCTGCAAAAGTGTTGGAAAGAACCAACTGGCATGAGGACATAATTCCAGCAGGTATGTTCAGTGCAAACCAAATAACTCAACAACCAAATAACACCGTAGATGCAATTAGTTTTGTTTTAAATAACTGAAAATATTCAATTAGGAAGAAAAGATTTTCACGAAAACATATGAGGTCATCATTTAGCACAGTTTCCAGATTCAAAACGTTGTAGGAAGATTTATCTAGTCCTGCCCCTCACTCTTTGTTTTGACCTGTTGCGTTTAATTCAACACATTATTCATGTCAGATATGCCAGCATATAAAACTACATAGATACAGTAGTATACAACCTAGGATTTTTCCCCCCACAATTTCTTATTCAACATGATCAAAGCAATTAAAAGCATTTCTTTGAAGCTGCAAATCGCCCAGCCTATCCAAATATGATGTCATCACCAGTGACTCATTCATTCGTTCATTCATTC